GTTCTTTCCGAAAGTATCGATTCCTTGAAGTGTAGACTAGATGCTCATTTGTTGATAAACTACTGTACATGCAATAACGATTGTTTTGGCGGCGGCAGTTTGCGCCTGGCTCACACTTACCGCTAATTTTTTAACTTTCCGCATTTATTGATGTAATTGATGACTTTATTTCTGTTTATCGATATGAATAGGGAGCTGAAGGGCGAAAGCCTCATTCCCTTAATAAACTGACTTAAACCATACTCATTTCAACTTTTTGAAAGAGTGAGGGAGTTTTTCACTATTCATTAACAGTTTTCCGTATCAGAATGCCTATTTCATAAGTACGAACTGGACATTGTGCAGTGTCTGCATACGTGATCTAAAATTCCCTATAAGATTTATTTTCCTCAATGTGAAAGTGCCGCTAGGAGTACTAAATAAGACAGTTTATTAATTATGCATGGATGTGGGGTTATAGATAACATAAGGAATAATATAAATCAATCAGTACCTGTAGACTGCTGCCACCTCTGTCAAGAGTGCCTACTGGGTTCTTTGTTAAAAATCGACAAATGTCTGAGACTTAGGTAGGCTGCGGTCTGCAATGATAATTACATGCTGGTTCACGCAAATTACCAACTCCATGAGAACTGATAGCTTATTGCCTAAACTATTTACAAATGTCATAATGTTATGGCACTAACCTAAGCCTCATTATTATACGAGCCTTCTAACATTGATTCATAACAAGCGAGTCCTGCAGCCCGTCGTAGATGGTAACATTGAGATAGATTATGTGCACAAAGCGTTAGGATCGGTGTGACCACAAGAAAGTTTCGGAGTCTGTTGAGATCTGATCGCAATAACTTACAAGCTTGATTGTTTAACTCCAAATTTTTTAAAGTTTGCCTGCTACTCTTAGCGGGATTGTGTCGCTTGTGCTTTGTCATAGGACCCAGCGATTCACAATCCTCTTTATTTTATTTGGTCATCGGTGAACAAAAGTTTCGCCTCTGCTGGGTAATCTGCGCCCTACAATGCCATATAATCGCCTTCGGCCTTCGAGTAAGAATAATCCCTTTATAACTTGTTGTCTGGGGCCTCGTCGGTCCCGCGTTGCTTAAAAGCGCAACCTTCTTAGACACATGTACTACTTAGAATGAAATAGTCGTATGCCTAGGGATTCCCCTGTTCGCCACTTGCTTGCCTTAGGTGATCTGTCAGAGACGGCTGCTAAGGTGCAAGCAGACACTTCATTATTTTCACACACACACGACAGTTCGACCGTCGATTTCGACGATATCCACCGTGTGCCCACAGTCGGAGCAGCGGTGACAGCAGGGACGGTGGCTTGCGCAGGGGTTTATAGTGCCAGTAGACTTGCGCTGCATCTACCTACACTCTCTCCTCCTTCCCCGCCTGGGCCCGGTGTCAACACAGCGTCTATGAAGACCGGAGACGAGGGAGGCCACAGGTGGACGGCTCGAACGGATCCTCGCCTTGGCGTTTCACCACACCCCTGGTCCACACAACAAATAACCAGGATTTTCACCAACACAACAGAGTTTGGAGGCTGGCACGACCGAAGCCGCAATTAGGCGTGCCGCCGACGCCTGGATCGGATCGCACACTGTGATGGGAGTGCCATAAAGGCTACATTAAGAAGGAACCATTGCAGCCTGACTCTCAGACCTCCTGTCGAGGAGGTGCAAGTTATACCGTCAGTTGGCAACCTTCCAAGCCACGACTTTTAACGCACCGGGATAGTTTCAAGCGCGTCAGATTGTTTATAATGAGGAGAAAGTGCGCTGAGCCGTCGACCTCACTCTCCCTTCCCATTCCCACACCCCAGCCACTGTCCGAGCCGTTCAGCAGACTGGAGAGGGGAATGGGCGCGGTGGCTGACACGGTCGCCTGACCATGCCTGCGCGCGCCACAGCACGACCTGGCCCCCCATACACACAACACCAGGATTTCACACAACGGGCGTTAAACGGCGTGTCTCTCACATGCGTGAGAGGGCCGTGGAAGGTGCTGCTTCAGTCCGTCCCCAGCCCACCAGTCCGCCGCTCCACACAACACACACACAACGCGACGAAATGCGTGAACTGAGTGCGGGCGTTAATCAGCATCCTTCCTAGCCACGACGCGGGGATCTCAGTCCCTCGAAGTCTTAACTATCTACCGGCCCCCGCAGGCGGATCCCGACCCAGATACTTGTCTGCTGAAAAGCATAAAAGAGATCGCCATTCGACCAGACGTTGTTATCATGGGGGATTTTAATGCACCATGCATTCAACGGAGCGATATGCATGCGAAATGCTCGATGAATACCTTCGATTACCATCTACTAAAGACAATCCTAGAAGTTCTACTCACGCAACATGTCCTATTTCCAACTAGAACTCGTGGAGGGCAACAGGCCAGTTGTCCGGACCTCGTTTTTACCAAAGATCCTGACAGTATAGACGAGGTGTACAACTTACCCCCGCTCGGTTGAAGTGATCATGCAGTGCTTTTATGCGAGTACTTGCTGCATTCTGAACCGTGTACAAAAGACAATACGAGGCCAAAAATATGGAAAGGGGACTTTCGCCAAATTAGAGCTGAGGCATCACAAATAGACTGGGATGTTCTCTTCTCCGGAAACGTTAACGAGGACTGGAATTTATTCAAGGACCGTTTACTGCACCTAATGAAGAACCACCGTCCCTTATCAAAGCCTAGGACATCCAACCGCCCTCAGTGGCTTACACGAAAACTCAAAAGGGAGATCAACAAGAAAGGTAGATTATGGAAGAAATTTCGCGAGAACAACAATAATGCAGCGTTTACAGAATACAAAATTCAAAGAAATAAGGTGAAAAGCCTGATTTTCAGGAGGCGACGGGATTTTGAAAGTAATATGCTCCACCGAGCCGTTAAAAATCCGAAACTGCTCTACAGCTATTTGCGGAAGAGCACACGTAACAGGAATCCCATTCCTGTTATGAGGGGTGATGACGGCTTGGAGATATCGGACAGTACAAATAAGACTGAGCACTTTTCTCAATTTTTCCGATCCGTTTTCACAAGAGAAGCGGACTTTACCCCATCTAATTCTGAGAACATGAGAGATCCCACTATCGAAAATATTGTGTTTCGAGAAGAAGCGATTTTGGAAGAACTGAAACGCTTGAAGGAATGTAAATCTCCCGGTCCGGACGAGATTCCAGAAAAGCTGCTCTTTGAGCTTGCCCAACAGCTGGCCAAGACACTATCCTTTCTGTGCCAAAAACCGTTTGATGCTGGAATTCTTCCCACAGACTGGAAGACGGCCCACATTACACCCCTTTACAAAAGCGGTAGTCGTGCTCAGGCGACAAACTACAGACCCGTCAGTCTGACATCAATCTGCTGCAAAGTGATGGAGAAAACAATCAAAAAGGAGTTGATGTCTTACTTGGAAACCCACAAGCTCTTGTCCAATACACAATATGGTTTCCGTAGGGGAAGATCATGTGTTACGAACTTGCTATACACAATGCAAAGTTGGACACGAGCACTGGACGCAAAACAGACCGTGCATGTTGCCTATATTGATTTCCGGAAGGCGTTTGACTGTGTTCCGCACCAGCGTCTCCTACACAAGTTGAGAACTATGGGCATCGGTGGCAAACTTCTCAAATGGATCGACAATTTCCTTGCCGGCCGCTCCCAAATTGTCTGCGTAGAACAACAGCAATCAAGGTGCACATTCATAGAGAGTGGGGTCCCACAAGGCTCGGTGCTCGGACCAACCCTCTTTCTCTTGTTCATCAATGATTGTGTAGATGGGTTGGACTGTGATTGCGCCATATTTGCGGATGATATAAAAATCTGGAAAGTCATCCAGAATGCTGCCGATGAGACCAAATTCCAAGAAAATCTTTGCGATTGGACGAGTGGTCCCACAGATGGATCTTGTCCTTCAATTTGAACAAATGCACCATTCTGCGCCTCGGAAGTCAGACCCCTAGTACGCGGCAATACCATCTGAACGGAATGCCACTCCGAGAAGCAGAAACTCAGAAAGATCTCGGAGTTTGGGTTGCAGACAGCCTAAAGCCTTCTACACAATGCTGTAAGGCGGCCAAGGCCGCAACTTCAATGCTATATGCCATCAAGCGGGCATTCGTAGTTTTCGAGGAAGACTGCTTCACCAAAGTCTTCTGCACGTTTATAAGGCCCCATCTCGAATATGCAATTCAGGTCTGGAGACCGTGGACGCATCAGTATTACGATCTGCTCGAAAGGGTGCAGAGGCGAGCCACAAAATTAGTAAAAGGTCAAAGTGCACTGCCATACCAGATCCGCTTAACTAACCTTAATCTCTACCCTCTGAGTTATAGGCAGTTGCGCGGAGACATGATACAAACTTTCCGTATCGTGCGCGGCTTGGATTGTGCCCTTCGGTGCGGTGACTTTTTCCAACTCGCCACTACAACTCACCTCCGGGGACATCCCTTCAAGCTACGTGTGCCACAGGGTAGACTGAATGTGAGAAAATATTTCTTCTCCAACCGTGTCGTGGAACCGTGGAATAACCTGTTCGAGACGGTTGTTATGTCTCAATCTGTGGAGACATTTAAATGCCGCCTTGACAGATTTATGCTGCAGCAACAAGCGGACTATGCGACTTTTTAACCATGTGACTAGTGACCTATGTGAATCAATGTATGCATTCACTTAATGCTGTAATTTCTTCACATTTTTGCTTGTTTATCGATTTTTTATGTACAAATAGGGAGTTCAAAGACGTAAGCCTATTTCCCTCAAATACACTGACTGACTGACGCTTGACGTGTCGGGATAGTCACGGACTCAAATCACCCGTGCAGCCGAAGCCGCATGGGGACCGAGTCGAGATGCACACTTCCCACTTGCGTGGTAGGTGGCAGTTTGGTGCATGCTGTGGGTGCGTGTTGATGTGTGATGGTGGTGGTGGTGAAGGAATGTAGGTAGGGAGTGTGTGAGTGTGTGGTGTAGCCGGCGGTTGTCTACCGCAGGTCGTCGTGGATGCGCATGTGGCCGAATAGGCCCATGCGATGCCTGAAAGTGCGAGGGCAGTGTGGGCAGTTGGGACGAGCTTGGTGGGTATAGGTTGGTGCCCCAGGCACTGGTGCTCCAGTCTCTGTGCGATGGATTCGCAAGCGACCGACCAGGCCGATGCGTGAGGTGAACGTGCGTGGGTAGTGTGGGCATGAGAGTTCGGCGATGCCGATGTCAGCTGCAGATGAAGCGGTGGTGCTGGTGGTGATGGGCGCGTATGGCGATGGAACGACGGTGGGGCTGGGCATGGTGGATGTGTTGAATGTGGTGGGTGTGTCGGAATTGTGGTCAATTCCGCTTTTGTGAATACGCATGTGGCCGAATAGACCCATGCGATGCGTGAAGGTTCGGGGGCAGTATGGGCAGTGGAGGTGAATGCGGTGGGTGTGAGTTGGTGCTCCAGGCACTGGTTCACCAGTCTCTGTGCGATGGATTCGCAAGTGACCGACCGGGCCGATGCGTGAAGTGAAGGTGTGATCGCAGTGAGGGCAGGTGTAGTCCTGGTCCTCACCTCTGAAGACAAAGGTTGCAGGGGTTATGCCTGTTGTTGTGTCAGGTATGTCTGCGGTGATGTCGTGCGCGACAGACGCCTGAGCGGCCGTCGTTGGGACAGTGGAGGAGGAGGAGGAGGAGGAGGAGGAGGAGGAGGATGGAAGTGGTGGTTCAGAAGAATTCACAGAGTTAGTTGGCGGCAGAGAGGACGAGGAAGAGACAGGTGGAAGGACGGCTGCTGGTGTGGTCCGAGATGTACAGTTGATCGGAAGATGTCCAACAAGGCCGATTCCAGCCCGGAATGTCCGCTGGCATCGAGGACACGTTGGAAGCGGTTGCGCGGCGGCGTTGCGGACTGGGCGCAGTTGGGATTTGCGGGCTTCACGTTTCGCTTTGGCGGCGGCGGTGCGGTTGGCTTCGTGGATAGCAGCGCCCGTCTTCACTGTTCTCCTCCATGTCGGACGATCGCGGGCGTGCTCTTCCATTTGGTCGGGTTGATTTGCAGGCGCTTCAGAGAGGACTTCAGAGTGTCCTTGTATCGACGAATTTGACCATCTTGGCGGCGAGAACCCGTCGCGACGTCTCCGTAGAAGAGTCGTTTTGGTAGTAGCTCGTCGTCCATGCGCACCATGTGGCCGCTACAGCGCAGCTGAATTTGTCTCAGCATGGTGTAGATGCTGACGATTCCCGTCCGTTCCAGCGCATCAGTGTCGGGGATGCGATCCTGTCAGTTCAGCCTCAGGATGCGACGGAGACAACTGAGGTGGAAGTGGTTCAGTCGGCGTGTCTGCTTTGTGTACACCGTCCAAGTCTCCGCTCCGTATAGCAGCGTCGGCAGGATGACGGCTTTGTATATCTTCAGCTTCGTGCTCATTTGGAGACCATGACGATTCCAAACTTTGCTTTGGAGGCGGCCAAAGACTTGACTGGCTTTCGAGATCCTGTTGGCGACTTCGTCATCGATCTTGGTGTTGCGGGAGAGGGTACTGCCCAGGTACAGGAAGTTCTCCACCACTTGCAGTTGGGTCATATTCACGCTGATTTGCGGCGCGTTGGGGGGAGTGGCGGTGTTGGGTGGAGGTTGGTGCATCACCACCGTCTTCTGTGTGTTGATGACCAGACCGAAGTTCTCGCAGTCGGCGGAGAACAGGTCCATACGGCCTTTCATCTCCTCTTCCGAGGTAGTGTTCAGGGCGCAGTCGTCGGCGAAGAGAAGTTCGTGAATGGTGGTTGTGGATACGCGCGATTGGAAGTGCATCCGCCGTTGATTCAGCAGGTGACCGTCCGTCCTGTAGGCGATGCGGATCCCGGGGCGTTTGTCGCGGTAGGCGTCCATCAGCATGGCAGAGAACATAAGACTGAAGAGGGTAGGCGCCAGCACACAGCCCTGCTTCACTCCGTTGGTCACTGCGAATGCCTCTGAGACAGCTCCGTTGTCCGTGACTCGCGCCATCATACCGTCGTGCAGCTGACGTACCATCTAAGTGAATCGCTCCGGACAGCCGAATTTCAGCATGATCTTCCACAGTCCTTCACGAGTCACCGTATCAAAGGCTTTCGTCAGGTCTACGAAGGTAGAGTGCAGGTGGGTCTGCATCTCCTGGCACTTCTCCTGAAGTTGACGGGCGGCGAAGATCGTGTCTGTGGTCCCACGATGACGACGGAAGCCGCACTGGATTTCCGACAGAAGACCCTGTTCGAGATGGTTATTGAGGCGGTTGAGAAGGATGCGAGCGAAGATCTTCCCGGCGATGTTAAGCAAGGAGATGCCGCGGTGATTGTCGCAGACTTGGCGGTTTCCTTTTCGCTTGTAGAGATGCACGATGGTTGCGTCTTTGAAATCGTGCGGGACTTCACCTTGACGCCACATCTCCTGGAAGAGCGCAGTCAGGTGGTCCATTAGTTGGGGACCTCCGTGCTTGTAGACCTCAGCAGGGATTGCGTTCGATCCGGGTGCCATCCCCCTGGAGAGTTGCTGCACGGCCCTGATGGTTTCCTGGAGAGATGGCGGGAGGTCGAGGTCCACGTTGGTCTCCACTTGTGAAAAACGGTCGATGGCGGCGTCGGAGATGGTGGAAGGTCGGTAGAGGACGCCTCGAAAATGCTCGGTCCATCGCTGTAGAATTTGCGCCTTCTCAGTCAGAAGGGTGCTACCGTCGGCGCTGAGGAGAGGAGCAGTGCCCTTCGTCGGCGGACCGTAGACAGTTTTGATCGCAGAGAAGATGTTCCTTCATTCGTTGCGGTCCGCGTACCCTTGAATCTCCTCAGCCTTGCGAGCCGTCCAGGCGTCCTGTCTCTCGCGCAGTCGCTGTTGTAGGAGGCGACGACAACGGTAGAAAGCAGCTCTGTTGTCGTCGGTGGGGTGGTCTACATAGGCTTTTTGTATGCGGTTTTCCTCAGCGAGCAGATTGGTGATGGCGACGTCGTTGTCGTCGAACCAGTCCTGGTGTTGGTGGGGAGCGCGACCGAGGACGGTGAGCGCCGTCGACTGGACCGTGTCTCGCAGTTGACACCAGCGGTTCTCCACGGAGGTGTTCTCGGCAGCGGCGGCGTCGGCAGCGATAGGAAGGTTGCCTAGCCTTTGAGCTAGATCATTGCTGAAGTGAAGATGGTGAGCGGGCAAAGACAACAAGACAACATTCAGCTTACCTGGGCGTCGCTTACCTTGTGGTCTTCTGCGGGGCTGTAGGCGAATACATATTTTCGAGAGGACGAGGCGATGGTCGGTCCACCCGTCAGTACCCGCGATCGCCTTTGTCACCAGCACGTCCCGGTGATCTCGCCTCCGGATGAGGACGTAGTCCAGCAGGTGCCACTGACGCGACCGAGCATACCTCCAGATGGCCTTTTCTCGCTCCGGCAGACAGAAGAACGTATTTGTCAGGATGAGCCGGTGTTTTTTACGCGGGTGCGGGGGAGGAGCAGGCCGTTGTCGTTGGAGCCGCGGAGACCATGGGGACCTAGCACTCCTCTCCAGGCAGCATGGTCTGTGCCGACGCGGGCGTTGAAGTCACCAACGGCAATCAACTAGTCCGCCTTCGACACAGTCGACAGGAGGTCATGCAGATCCTCGTCGAATTTGTCTCTTGCGGCGGCGTCGTGGCTGCTCATCGGGGGAGCGCAGGCGCTGATGGTGGCGAATTTGCCCCCACCCCTGAGAGGCAGACGGAGGCTCATCAGGCGATCGTTGAGGCTCTGCGGCAAGCAGGGCAGTCGTCCCACGATGTCGTTCTGGATGGCGAAGGCGACACCCGCGTCTCGTCGCTCTGCCCTGGGACGACCGCTCCAGAAGAAGGTGTAACCGGCACCCACCTCCTCCAGTTGGCCTTGTTCGGAGAATCGAGTCTCGCTGAGTGCGGCGATGTCCACCTTGTAGAGCGCCAGTTCCCTAGTTACTAGCGCCGTCCTCCGCTCCGGTCGGTTGCTCTTCGGATTGTTTAAAAGGGAACGAACATTCCTGGCTGCCAGAGTGAGCGGACTCACCCTGCCAGTCTGCCGATTGCGACGGCGAAAACTAGGAGGAGAAGAAGAATAGGCTGGAAGGGGAAGAGAGTTATTGTTGTTGTTGTTGTTTCGGTTTTGGCTGTTTTGACCGTGTGTGTTTTGTCTGCGGCCATGGCCAGTCTACAGACAGCGTGGTTCCCGGCAATTTTTAGGGCACCTTTTCTAGCCCACTACCCCTCGCGAGGGCAGGCAGCGCACCCCCAAAGTAGGGCTGCCCGGTTACCCCAGACGGCTGCCGGACTCCACTATGGACCACGACTTTTTTTAGTGAGAGAACGACCCGAGTTAGCCTGGGATCTTGGTGGTGATGTGATGGAGTTAAGTAGGAGAGAGCATACACACCAACAGAACGCTATGGGACTTACAGCTAGAGTGGACAAGCAGACACAGTCATCAGTCAGAGACAGAAGTGAGAGGGCGTCCTTCAAGATCAAGCACAGTGACACCTAGCTAGTAGCGGAGAGAGGCAGAGACTGACAGACAGACAGTCGCAGCAGGCATCAAGAGTTTCATCTAAATATTAACAGACAGACTAACATATAGAGGGCAGGCAACAAGAACAGCATACAACACGGAACTCAAACAGACAAGGAAGGAACAAAGCAAATTCACTTACCTGAAGAAGAACTTTGCTGGTGGCCTCCTGCGATAGTCCCGACAGAGCCTTGTCTCGACGATGTCGACGCGAAGATCCATCCGGCCAGCGGAGACAACAGTACCGTGTGTGCAGGTGCACGCACGGATATCCTCACCTGGTTTAGCCCGCCGGTCGAGGCGGTTGCCCGGGGTGTGGCCGCTGAGCAGGGCCCAGCTACGTGGAGCCACAGGTGAGAGTTGGGTGCCAGCAAATGGCCGCTAGGCGTAGTCTCACCTGCAAGCAAGTGAGCGACCACTACGACCATCACGTGAACCCACCGCTGACACCCCTACACCCCCCATACACAAACATACACACACACACCCACACACGCAAAATAATATATTCGTACTGAGCTACCCTGCTGGAGTCCGGGAATAGCAGAGGTAACTGTCTTCTTTTCTGTCCGCATGCCTCAAATTAATTCATCATACTGATGACCGTCTTTTAAGTTCGTCTAGACTGACTTCAATAATTTTAACATGAGTTGACAAGTTACTTTGTACAAGGGGACTAAGATTTTAACCTTGCTTTTACAAACGCAAGTGATTCAGACTCATTCCTTAAGTCAACAGCTTCTTTGAAGACCATTTCCATCCACATCTCACAAGACCTACGTCTGTAAATTTCTTCTTGTATTCAAGAACTTTAACTTGACTAAGCTGATATTGGTACTTTTGTTTTCCTACATAGAGCAGCGAATGTCCAGCTGCTTGTATTACACCTTTTGCGGAGGGGACAGCCGCTAGAAGGGAGGTGTCTACCTCCTCTTCGCTGTTTCTGTAAACACACATCTGCGAAAAATATGGAGCATCTGGAGGAACAAGGGCAAGATTTAGTGAAAAATACCGGTTACTCATTTTCGTTGAACTTCTTCTCTAAACCAAGCACAACAGTCCTTGATCCATAAAAGGGCTGCAACTGTGTGTTGACGGTTACTTGACTAGTCAGTGGGCAGGGCAGTCCACTGTGCTCCGTGTGCTGTGTAAACATAAGCTTCGAACAGGTAAGAGCTAGGTAAACTATGCAATATGTCATGTTCGTGCCGAACTAATCTTTTATAGCCCTTCAAAAATTTTACTTTACCATGAAATGTACGGCATGCCGAATAACAGTGGTATGGATTCTGAAAATCTCATTTCTTTTGGTAGCAATATGCAGGGTCTCGGAAATCCGGTCCTTTGCATGGTGTAAGGTTGTAAAGTAGTCATAAACAGGAAAGTATTTAGCTCATTATCTACATTTCAGGGATATCATTGTGGGACTACTGCGCCTGCGAGCAAAATGAGCGGGAGACAGGTAAGTACTCCGCTCTTAATTCTGGTTCAGAATTTAAAAGGAAAACAAGTGCCCATCCGGCTATTTCTTGATAATCTGCAGCAATATTGCCGTCAGAAATATTTCATCTGATCATTCAGTGTTAAGTTGCACACTGTGGCGATAAAGTCCGACCCAAGGTTTGACTTGTAAACTTGTATGTGCAGTTTCATGGGGCGTCACTAAGATGACGTGAAAGCTGCTACTGAGGAGTATCAGTAACCAGTAATTTCCATAAGGGTCTTGTACTAACCATGACAGGGGGTTGGACCAAACAAGCACAAACAGGGCCCTGGACCAATCCGCCGGGTAGCTTCTCTCCCATCTTTAGCATAGTTGTCTAAAAATACTGCAAGTTTTCGCACTGCAAACAACGCGGGTACGTCCCTTATATAGACCGTCCTGTAGAAACAATCACGAAAATAAACTAATTCCAGCCCTCTGTTTTCGAGGACCGGCCACTTTGACTGCCCTTTTCATACGCGGGATTTCGGCAGGTGGGCTAGTCCTGCGACAATGAATAAGAGAAAGCAGTTTTCCTATTAGGGTTGTTTCGCCGGAGCGATCTATACAACAAACGCGCCCACGCGATCTGCGTTGAAAAACCTTGTGGTATTTTTAATCAGTTATGCTTCAAACAAAGGATTAATAACCAGTAGAACTGGGTCATAGTCACGTTCATCCTACTGTGGCCCGGCCTTTAGGACAGGATCACGTGCCATGAGGGTTTCGCCTTCAATACACAGTTTACATTTTAAATATATACTACTTTCAGTCGAAAGGGCCTGAAAGAAACATTTAATAGTCATTTTCCAACCCTCTGATTAAATTACTAAACGTACTTTTTACGTGATTAACCTGACGGGCCCCGGTCTGCGGTTGGGGCCGCATGTCTCAACCTTTGGTTTTATCATCTCCGCTCACCAACTTGGTGATGGCACTAAAGAGTCCGTCGTGGACATTTAGGCAAGACACAGTATTTAGCTATAAACGTGTAATGCATTTCAGGGCGACATAATTGAAAACATCATGTGGGGGGAGGACTTGCCTGTTGAATAACCCCTCAATTGGCCTCGTCCAGCGCCCTCCAGACTTGTGGAGTTCATATACGCCAGACAGACATGAATCACCGATGAAAAAGAGGGACAGTTCGACTAACGGAAGAAGCACAAGGAAGGGGAGGAGAAGCTGGAGAGCGGCTAGTATACACTAATAACCACGTATCTCTAGAGCTTACAGGCGTTTGTTTAGATTCCAAAGAGAAGGATCATTCTACATACATTAAGCAGGAATAACTTTTGCATATCTGTATTCCAATCCTTTTCTTCTTTAGGTGGCTGACTTGACTTTTGAGGCTCCGGTGTTTTCCTTGAAAGCACGAGTGTGCGCTTCGCCTTATTAGGGCTCAGACGGGCTGGTTTACTACTTTAAGGAGTAAATTACAAACACATCGCACTCAGACACGATTCGCCTCTTTAAGATGTTACTTTGGATCATATACGGTCTGGGTCGAATGTCTACCGCCAGCAGTTTTTTCTCCTGAATCCTCCAAACCATAAAAATCACCATCAACTTTATTTTTATTCTTTTTCCATAGGAGTTTTTTTCACTGCTGATCGGATTTGCGTTTAACGCTTCCCTTGAAAATGCCTGTAAACTGGCATTAAGTAAAAATAAAATTATCAATTATCAAATAAACTAATAGTTGCATAAAGCCCTAGCATATTCTACAGCTGGGAATATTTTGATTTCGGAAATTTATCTCGATTCATAAATTGATGGTTTATTGAGTCCTGGAGAGCACCGGACGCCAGTAAACGAAGGATGTTCATTGAGTCTGCAGTTTTCGGTCTTCGTGGAGTACTGAGTTTGCTGAGAAAGTTGGTGTGCATATTAAGTTTGACCCTGTTTTGTTGTTAGATGACGAGTTTCCCAATTCACAAGAATTTTGAAGGCATAGTAGAAGACGTCCCTCTTAACTCTTGCACAAATGTACTAGTGGCATTTCAAAGTAGAAGCATTTAAAAAGCTGCACCGTTAAAACTTTAAGAAGATGGATAAGCCTGTTTCGCTGCTTTTGCCTTCTTGTCACCTTAAAAACGCTGGTGAAAGTAGTGGTCAATACGAAAAGCATGCTCACTTTGCTGCAACGTAATGTTCAGATTCAATGTTAATATCAAAAGGCACTTAGTTTATACCGCTACTAGAGCGGACATGGTACGTTTGCCGACATGATTCCCT